ATATGCACGTGGCCAGGGTCGCACCCAGAATCTTGGGCAACTCATTAATGAGCGGCACCACTCGGTATGCAAAGGGCCGTCGTCCAGCCGCTGCACGCACCGCCGGGGGGCGCAGATTATGGTCCATGCCGGGGGGGGGGGGGGGGGCGTGGTTCGTTCACTGATCCACGCCTCAGCGTATACTTTAGGTAAGCGGGCAAGACCTTTCGGTTTCAACCTCGCTCATGGTCTCTGTGAACAGCGATAACAATTCGTACGTCACACATTTGACGAGGCGTGGCAAAGTGCAGGTCATTCCGCGCGTGAGATATGTGGTCATGCTTTTGTAGGCCAGTGACTGCTCTGGCAGGGAAGTTAACTACTTTAAGCAGCCTGGCCTCGTAACAGCTGATCCCTGTCCCATAAACCGCAACACAGTATCTCACGCGCGAGATGACCAGACTCTGCCCTGTGGTCAGCAGCACTCGTGGGAGGAAACGTCTCAGGTGGCGGAGACCGATCAAGACGCCGATGCAGCTTCTTACTACAGCACTGACATGTGGGTCCCAGCTCAAGTGACGGCCAACTAGCAGACCCATTTTTTTAAAGGGCATTCGCAGCATTTGACATGCATTAAGGGCTCTCGCAGCATTTTTTTTAAATATTAAAAAAATTGTTCATTACCATAACAGGTAAAATTGACGATAAGAGCTATTATGTTTCGTCGCCATATCCTAATTTTTCGCTTCAGGCTTAACCACTTAATTGTTTGGGTCCATTGAGTCAATTACAAACGCTAATTAACAAAAAACAAACAAACACACGATTACGAAGACTTAACGTTTCGGCAGCATAATTTACCGGATACTTTGGCAGACCTTACGAAAAACAATAGGTTTCCAGACGTCTGTCTTGATTTTTGCGTATTTCAGATTTGGTGACAAAGTAGCCCTTGCTTAATTATGCAAACGGAATATAGCTATGCACGACAAAATTTAATACATAGGATGGAAGTGAACTGCCGGCTTATGGAGGGTGATCTGACACGACCGTCAGCAATGCATGAGGACGGTAGCTATTGCAGAGCCTTCAAAAGAGAAATGGAAAATTCTATTGAATGTGGCAGGTTACTAAAATACATAACTTAGCTTGTGAGCTCTTACGCGGTCTAAGTACTGCCTAATCTTGCAACGATTCCGTTGATCCCCTTTTATGATATATTGGCATACATAGCTTAACCTACAACAATAACGCAACAATAAGGAGGTCCTGGATGCGACTCGTAATCCATTTATCTACTGAACCTTAATCAATTTTTATTTCAGTTTTGGAAAGCCATGAACTTAAAAGTGCAATCCAGCTACTACGTGCGCTTCATATGTAGCAAAGCCAACACCAATGAGGAAATGATAATGCTCACACAAGTTGCGGCGACCATGACAATGATAATCAAAGCAATGCTTGCCTTCATGCAAAATTGTTAAGACAGAAATACCCGTAACAATACAATACAACAGTACAATACAACAATGCAATACAACAATACCACACAACAATACAATACAACAATGCAATGCAACAATACAATACATAACAATATATGTACCCATAACAATGCAGCAAAATATTTTCAGAATTGCTAAGGGAAAATAATTTTGCAAAACCGTATCATGTGAGCTTATACAAAGCGTATGCATGAATGCGCTGTGCTGACCCTACCCCCACCGCCTAGGTGAATTGCTACTTAATGGCATGCAATGGATTAATTACACACTGTAATAAACCTCAACAGGCTTAACATGTTGGCAAGATTCTAATGAAGGAGCAAATTGCCCCTGCACCATGGGTGCTTAGCGTCTCTTTTCAGTTTACTGACATCACTACCTTGTCATGTTCAAACGTAAACCTTAAGAGGCAGGTATCAATGCATCAACTTTTATTGGGAGCCATTAGATTCAAAGAATACCAACCAATTTCTCTCTCAGAAGTACAGGCCTCGCACGCACACTCCCCCATCACATCAAGATCATACAATCCACTGGCACACGCTACCAGTGATTACACCCATTTCAAGCGCCTAATTCACACTCTGATGTCAAGTAAGTGTTATCCCACGCCTGCACAACCTGCAGGACCATCAAACTGCAAGTTTTCTCTCCATTTCTGCACAGATTTTCGGCTATAGCACCGCATTTCACCATGAGCTTCCTTCAAGACAAGGTTCCAACGGGGATTTATGGGAATAGAACGCAAGAAGTGCACTTGTCGGCGCAAGTTTTTTTGTTCAAGATTCAAGTTTGTCATACAACATGCGAGTAAACATTTAGTAAAATGCATATATGAAATTACCGTAATACATTCCTATTTTAAAGTGTCTTGCTACCCCATAAACCCGTGCAAGGTCTTTGCTGCGGTACACAAGGCGCCAACCGAGCTGTCTGTAAGAAATACGTCAGTAGAAGAAAAAAGACGACAGCAGGGGAAAAACGCAAATCTGCCGTCGCGTCTTCTTTTTTATAACATTCGGGAAAGTGCCGTGGTTTCAGTGCTGTACCCTTTAGGCAGACGGTGGCGTTTTTTTTATAACATTGACTTATGGCCTAGAACTAGGGAAAATGCCACGTTGGCGACGAGCATCGCTCAACCCGAAAGTGTTCACGCTTGCGTTCGCGACACGCACTCAGCAGCGAAATATCAACCACAGCCAATCACCTTCCGCGGATGTTATCATGCGTGCTGCATTATCGCTCTTGCGAATGTGTCAGTAAATATGATGTTTTGACCACAATCAGAAAACAGCCTGCAATATAACGGCATCATATATACGTTTATATGACTACATCAATGTCGAGGTGACTTCGAAGCAGCTTCCCAATAAATCTTTTCACACATTTGCAGGCGTATAACTCAGGAACCAGAGGGTTTTGATCTCAAAAAG